GTGGCATGTATTGGCTACGTCAAACGTTGTCTTTAACCGGATGATTATAACGGCGTTGATCAGATACGTTCACGAATCATATGGAGATAATAGACATGCAATATGGGACTTGTCACCTCCTCAATAGGAGAGATATCGCTGGGCCCTCTCGTGGAAGTCGGACTATGAAAATGCGTGGCCACGCTATAGATGAAGTTGCATCTATTTTATTAGTCGATTTGCCAAGACGAGAAAGCGGTTGAACTTGAAGGGTGGCTCAAACCATGCCCTTGTTCAACATATGATATCGTGAGATAAAGGATCAGAACTCGAGCTGTTATTGCCTTGGTTAGATCATCTCTAACTCAAATTCAACGTGGGTGATCATGCGTCTTGCTAGAGGCTAACCATGACTTGTAGATCGGGAATGGTTCTCGAGGCTACTACCACTGCGAATGGACCTACAGGGTCACACACCATTAGGGATGGACTTATATGTGAAGTATCGGAAAGATAGACTTGGATTTGGTCGAACAACCAGTTCTCGGACCAAATCAGAGTGTCGGGACGAGTTTCAGTCTTCTGACTCAGACCGAGTCAGTATTTGACTCGGACCGAGTCAGTTCCATGCGAGTCGAAGCCCAGAAAGTGTTTTGGGCTTGGCTGATGTTTTGACTCGGTCGAGTCAAAGTTTTGACTCGGTCGAGTCAAAGTTTTGACTCGGACCGAGTCAATACTAAATGGGCCGGGTCAAGAGTTGACAATGGGCTTGGGCTTATTCCTTCTGACTCGACCGAGTCAGAGTTCTGACTCGGACCGAGTCAATACTCGGAAAAAGTCACTTTTCCACAAGGATTAGGGTTCCTATCATATTGGACGCCGTCCTCAACCTAAGACAGACGAAAAAAACCCTAAGACAGAGCAAAAACACAGAAGAAATCGTTTCTTTCATAGTTCTAGCTCCCAGGATTAGATCTCACTTCACATACTTCACAGATCCTAGCAGATCGGTTCCAAAAGCGTTTGGAATCCCTCCCGTCGGTGTGGATACGTGTAGATGGACTGTAACTTCAGTCATAGGTGATTAAACAGGCCCCGGATCGACTCCTACTTCCGTTTCTTCAGGAAAGAGGTAAGTATTCGATTCCCACGGTGATATACACGATTATACGGGGTTTTACGGATGAGTTTGGTTACGTGTGACGTTTGACTAGGTTTAGATTATCTTTCCGCTGCATGAAACCTAGTAAACCAAACCCTAGATCGATATGATCGCATGCTAGGAATCCGTAGCGAAACCCAACATAGCAATCGCCATATGGTCAACAATTCGAGGCAAATAACCAGCCATGCCTGATGAATTGGTCGATTGTTGACTTATCATATTATTAACTTCATAACTTCCAGAAATCATGTCAAAATAAATCTTTCTTTATATCATTAGTAAATCTAATAGCTACGCATTGACATCATGATCGCGCAGATCTAATATATGTGTAGAAAGTTATGAGCATATTTAGACAACACTATGATCGAGTGGCTACTTATCGACAATAATCGGCATCCATCACTTGATAGATAAATTGATAATCTTACAACAGACCCAAATTACTACCCGTCGTGCGATAGGTGATTCGATAATTCAGAATTTGAGTCAAATCACTAGCCATCGCCATACGGTCAACAATTTGAGCCAAATAACCATCCATGCCCGATGGACCAGTCGATTTTGACTAATCATATTATTAACTTCATACTATCCACAAAACGTGTCCAAAAAATTCTTTATTTATATCATTAGAAGGCTTTTTCTTATAACTACGCATAGATACCATGATCGCGTAGATTTGTATATGACAAATTGTTATGAGCATATTTAGACAACACATTGATCGAGTGGCTACGTATCGATAAAAATCGGTATCCCTCTCTCGATGGATAAATTGATAATCTTAAAATCGACCCAAATTACTATGCACCGTGTGATACATGATCCGATAATTTAGAACTCGAGTCGAACCATCTCCATACGGTCAACAATTCGAGGCAAATAACGGGCCAGCCCGATGAGTTGGTCGATTGTTGATTGGTCATATTATTAACTTCCAGAAACATGTCAAAATAAATATTTCTTTATATCATTTGAAAGATTTTTCTAATAGTTACGCATAGACGCTATAATCGCGCAGATCTAATATATGAGCAAAACGTTATGAGTATATTTACACAACACATGGACCGAATCCCTACATATCGATAAAAATCGGTATGTATCTCTCTCGGTGTTTAATCCGATAATCTAAAAATCGACCCAAATTACTATGCATCATCTGGTAGATGATCTGATAACTCAGAAGTCAACTCGAATTGCTAGTCATCGCCATATGGTCAACAATTCGAGGCAAATAACCAGCTATGCTCGATGAATTGGTGGATTGTTGACTTATCATATTATTAACTTCATAACTTCCAGAAAACATGTCAAAATAAATCTTTCTTTATATCATTAGAAAGCGTTTTCTAATAGCTACACATAGACACCATGACCGCGCAGATCTAGCATATGTGCAGAACGTTATGAGCATATTTAGACAACAGTATGATCGAGTCCCTACTTATCGACAAAAATCGGCATCCATCACTCGATGGATAAATTGATAATCTTACAACACATCCAAATTACTACCCGTCATGCGATAGGTGATCCGATAATTCAGAATTTGAGTCAAATCACTAGCCATCGCCATACGGTCAACAACAAATAACCATCCATGCCCGATGGGGTGGTCGATTGTTGACTAATCATATTATTAACTTCATACTTTTCACAAAACGTGTCCAAAAAACTCTTTCTTTATATCATTAGAAAGCTTTTTCTTATAGCTACGCATAGATACCATGATCGCGTAGATCTGTATATGGCAAAAAGGTATGAGCATATTTAGACAACACATTGACCGAGTGGCCACATATCGAAAAAAATCGGCATCCATCTCTCGATGAATAAATTGATAATCTTAAAATCAACCCAAATTCATACGTGCAATATATGATCTGATGATTTAGAATTCGAGTCGAACCATCTCCATACGGTCAACAATTTGAGCCAAATATCGAGCCATGCTCGATGAGCTCAACGATTGTTGACTGATCATATTATTAAATTCATAACTTCCATGAAACATGTCCAAAAAATTATTTCTTTATATCATTAGAAAGTTTTTTCTAATTGAAACATGTAGACATTATGATCGCGCAGATCTAATATATACGCAAAACGTTATGAGTATGTTTAGACAACACATTGACTGAATCCCTACATATCGATAAAAATCGGTATCTATCTCTCGGTGGATAATCCAACGATCTGAAAAATCGACCCAAATTACTATGCATCATCCGGTAGATGACCGCGCAGATCTAGCATATGTGCAGAACGTTATGAGCATATTTAGACAACATTATGATCGAGTCCCTACTTATCGACAAAAATCGGCATTCATCACTCAATGGATAAATTGATAATCTTACAACACATCCAAATTACTACCCGTCATGCGATAGGTGATTCGATAATTCAGAATTTGAGTCAAATCACTAGCCATCGTCATACAGTCAACAATTTGAGCCAAATAACCATCAATGCCCGATGGGCTGGTCAACTTTGACTAATCATATTATTAACTTCATACTTTCCACAAAATGCTTCAAATGCTGGTATTGTTGTGATGAAAGATAAATTGAAAGAGCCAACATTCATACTTTCCACAAAATGCTTCAAATGCTGGTATTGTTGTGATGAAAGATAAATTGAAAGAGCCAACATTCATACTTTCCACAAAATGCTTCAAATGCTGGTATTGTTGTGATGAAAGATAAATTGAAAGAGCCAACATTTACGCATCCTAAGCCTCGTGAGTTACAATGTTTGGATGATGGAGAAGTTGTTCTTGAGGGTAACACAAAGTCATTATTGACTGCTGATGATATAGTTGCAACTCGGTCAGTTGCATCTCGAGATGAGGTTGATGACTGCATTGGTGCCAGCAGAGAATTATTTAGGATGAAAGAGCATCTAATTTGCAAACAAACGAAGAAGTGTTTGCGCAACAAGAACATTTGATTGTTGGCAAAACTTTCACAGACATGACGAGCAAGTTACCATTGGAGAATCAACAATTTGGTAGTTCACTCAAAATTTTGTGAGGTTCCGAGAGAAACTCAGAAAAAGACATTTGAGAGTATACCCATGAGATCGAACACAAATTTCTTCATGAGAGTGAGTGAAATTAAGAAAGCTTTGCTTTCTCATCAGCCGATGATTGTACTCATGTGCAAAGAGGATCTTTTGAGAACTAACGAACTCACATCTTCCTTGTCTAGTTTGAGTTTTGAGTTTTTGCAGGAACATGATGATGAGGCTCAATCTGGATTGAATTCAATTCAACGAATGAAACTACCAATTGATTTTATATTTGGCGAAAGCTCTCTAGGCAGAAAACCGAAAGAAGAAATTGAAAAGCTAACAGGAGATGCCGAAAGTGGAGATGCAATTGATGAGTTTTTACTTTTCACATCTGGGCATATCAGAGATTCTTCAACTCTTAGGGAGTTTGGTATTGTATCTCTATACCTTGCCTCACATCAAAATGTTATATTTGATCCTGGAATTGGAAAGGTGATGAATCACGTCCTTAGACACTTCCTAGTGTTGAGATAGAGGAGGTTTCAGACGACTCTACGTGAAGGTTGTTGCATATAAAGTTGCATGTGTATGAGTACCATGAGAATGCTTGGATTACAAGGATAAAGGCATTAAATCACAATATGGACGTTGGTCACTTACACACCAAGAACCAACCACTTTACTTCATCACCAAATATGCCAACAACCTCATTTAATGCTGCTGCACATGCACAACTCCAACAGCTAGTTCATTAATGATTGTTTCTCTTTCTTTTCTCTATAAATAACATCCTCTTGTATTAGAATCAATAATCTGAATAAGATTTCTCTTTGTTTATTTCTTTTCTCTCCATATTCGTTCTAAACTTCTTCATGGTATCATAGCGCTAATTTTTGCGCAAATTCTCTGTTTGTTTTGACAATGGAGAGATCAGATTTGAGTGTTGTTCCCGTTGTATTCAACGGTGAAAATTACTTTTATTGGTCTAAGGCTGCCAAAACCGTGTTATCTAGTCGCGGTTTGTGGAGTCATATTGATGAAGGAGACGTTGTCACCAACAAAGGGAAATCTCCGGAAACTGAAAACTCAAGTCAAGAGAATGACAAATGGTACCAAGAAGATCAGAAGGTGCTGGCAATTCTGCAAAGTTCTCTTGACCAGCAGATTCTACGATCTTTCATCCTTGCTAATTCCGCCAAAGCTTTGTGGAATAATCTGAAGGAAGTATACGGTAATCTCTCTAATTGGTCCCGTATTTTTGAAATCAAAAAGAAATTGTTCAATCTGCAGCAAAATGGAGAGCCCTTTACTAAACTCCAAGTGAGTTTAATGTGTTGTGGGCTGAATTAGAGGAGCTTCGTCCTCTTACAACTGACCTCAAGGTTCTCACGGAAAGAATGGAGCAAGACAAGGGAAGAATTAAGTTTCCATGCTTCGTCCTCTTCCTTTGTTGTTTTCATGCTTCCTTGCTCCTCAAGTCTTCTCGTGTCATGCTTGTTACTCTTTTGCTCTTCAACAGCAACACCATCGGAGCTGAATTGGAAGCTTGCTTCGGAATGGACAAAGCGGGAGAATTCACCAACCCAATTGGACCAATGACAAGAGAACGAGCCAAGAAGCTACAAGTTGTGCCAAATTGCCTTATTCTTGAATGTTTGGGTCAAGAATACATGGAAAAATGCATGGGCTTGGATCAACCACAAGTTCAGCCCATTATCTACTTGATTTTATTCTTGGAAGGCCCATAAATCAAGCCCAAAAGTCAAGCCCAAGAGGGAGGACGAAATTTGACATTAAATCTGGTCAAGGTGACTTTCCACTTCATTCTTGAAGACCACAAAGTCAATAATGACTTTCTTGAAGACTACATATTCAAACCTCTTTGTTTGTGTTTATTTATGTTTATTTACTAAGTTTTATGTATTGTTCTCTATAAATAAAGATCAAAAATCAGATTTGGAAAAAAACTTTGAAATATATATTTGAGAAGTTTCTCTTACAGTTCTTTTAGAACTAATTTCTGAACTTATCGGATCTTTATCCGTGGTGTTCAAACTTGACTTATCAAGTGTTGATTCCGCACAACACTTGTGGCGTCTTCGATCACCCTACGTTTCTAAACCAGGTTCACTCGGGGGTTAAGACCGTTCTTCACGAACGTTTGCTTAGGTTTCGTTTGCGAGTTGCTTAGGGGTTTAGGGAACCCATCCACCGCCTATCGGAAAATCTATCGATCTTGGGATCATATCACCTCGGCTACCGACCAGTGCCTTAGCAGCTTTGCTCCAATAAAAATAGTTATCACCATTAAGGTGATCGAGATAGGTTTCAAAGCTGAATCCATAGTGTTTGGGTGAGCGTTTTTAAGGGACGGAAAGAAAGTGAAACAGTTACGAAAATGGAAGAAAACAAAGAGATTTTAGGACCTTCTCTGTTCTGATACCATGAAGATTTAAATGTGTTTAGGGATGAAATATCAAACAAAATGCAAAAGAATTTGTTGTAGGAGAGAATGACGAAAATATGGTGAATGAAGACTTAATCCTTTCTATTTCACTTTTGTGCTATGAATGCGATTTACATCATATATATAGAGGAAAATATAGCTGTTGGGGTGACAGCAAAGTAACATCTAGCTAGGTGAGGGAGACAATGAAATAAAAAGTAACTAACCATGAAGAATAATGTCTGATCTAGATATTAGGAAAGAGCTGATGCATTCCCACGTATTTCAGCATAGGAGAGTGTGAATAAAGCATCTTGATTGATAATTTCGTGCTCCTTCTTGTTTGTATCACAAGTGACAAGATTTTGTTCCTCGTTAGTGAAGCTATCCAGCAATTCTTCACAATCAGCCTTCTCCTAGTCTATATCTTGAGTTTGTCCGTTAACAAGCAGAACCTGTCGAAAACTCTGAGCATATCACCACAATTTTATTTAAATATCTCATAATCTCGACACCAAAAGAGAATTATAACCTCCTTAACCCATACAATATAGAAGTCATTAATTAGTTTTCTCTGCACCGAGTATATATTGCAAAATTACTTTCATCGCAACAATATTCATATTTTATTTTATTTTTGTTGAAAGTTTATTATGTAAGTATTAATGTTATAGTATTTATGGAAATAATACAATAGCACGATTATTTTGTTATTAATATATGTATCGAAAATATAAAACTAAAATGAAAAATAAATAATACGGGATTTACATTATACGCAACAAAAGATGGTAAATCTCTTTGAATAAACCTGCTGTAGAACTGTGATGTGCAAAACATATAGATGATATTTTAGAACATAACGACTTTGGAATCTAAACATACTTTTTTTAATGCATAATAACCCTTAGGATCTGACGATATTTCGATTGTCACAATTTGACAACTAATGTAAGAGATTAATTTTATATTCTGAAGTCAGTTTCTTGTGAAACTGTTTAAGCAAGCACGTGTATTTTTCTTCTTTCTTCTTCTTGGATATTGTGAAAACTGTTAAAAAAAAATATGGAAATATATTTTCACAAGGAACTCCATTGATTTTGACGTATTTATTTAAAATTTTGTAATAAATAATCCAAATTATTCGCGTTCGTATTCTTTCGTTTACCATAGATTTTGATTGATTATTTATTTAAATATTTACGATAAAAGAATTTAACTTTTATTGTCCATGCTATAGATTCGATCACTAAACAACTGGGCTGATTAAACGAATTTAATTAAAAACTACTATATTAAATCACAAACTCAATTTTCTTAACTCTACAAATTAAAATTTGTATATTTCCGAAATTTAAAATTTGTCGATTGCAAACAGGTTGATTCAATGGTAAACTCAAAGATATAAAGTCTCCAAATTAAAACCTATAAATCATTAAATCGTTCCTATAAACTCGTTTAACGAAATCCCTTATCATTTACAACCAATGATCATTGTTTTTTTTATGTAAATTTATTGAGGGAAATAATTTTCATTTCCGAAAAAAGAAAGTCCATATGATTAATGAATTATAATGAGGTAGGGGTGGGCGTTTCAACCCATAACCCGGAGGTTTGGGGTACCCGGCTTAACAAGTACCCGAAGAAAGGGTATCCGGATATTAACGATGATGAGACCGGGTTTAACGAGGCCGAGTTTTTGACCCCCGGGTCCGGGTTCGGGTTTCGATTAACTCATAACGGGTACCCCGGATACCCGATATATTAATTAAAAATTAAAAATATCTTTATATTTATAACATTTATATAAGGTATTTTATTATTTATTAAAATATTTTTATTTTATTTAATTATTTTATATATTTTCAATCTTTTTAATTTATAAAATCGAATTTATAATTTATAAAATCGAGTTTTGAATGTTGTTTAAGTTATTTTTTATTGAATTTTATAAATTATAGAATATTTGAATTATTTATTTATGAGATCCGGGTACCCGTGAGTACGAGACTGAGAATCTCATTGAACCCGGGTTAGGGGTACCCGGATCTCATGAAGCCAAGAATGAGATAATTTTTTCGTAAAACCCGTGATGATAAGATCGAGTCCTAAAAAACGGGGTACCCGACCCATGCCCACCGCTATAATGAGGTTTTTTTTCGTAATCACTCCAATATACTATATCATTAAGCCAATTAGAATAATCTTAAATGATATTTTGCTTCGTTTTGTGAACCAAAACTCTAAGAAAAAAAATTACAGAATGAATGCATTTATAAGTATAATACCAATGATACCAAAGATTGAGTACATATAACATATTTCGGCGTATAAACCACCAAAAACGTGGTTTCTTGAACTGTTTTCCCCCCTTTTCTCTAAAACAAATCACAATGAGAAAACCAAACCCAATTCATCAATCTCTCGATCCAAATTTCTGGACTAAATAAACCTTAGAAACCCCAATGATATATATATATATATTCTCAAAATAAATCTTCAACACTACCTTAATAATATCATGCATAGTTACACAAACCATAAACACAAAGCTCTCCAACTTGACACCGATGGTTGCATTCTCCACAATGTCTCTTGTCATAAGCCAAGTAAACGCATTCTCCTCTGCAACAAGTCTGCGTGAACTTGCACTGGTTATTACATGCTCCACAGTTGTCGTTATCGTATGACAAATTCACGCATTTGTTGTTGCAACATGACATGGTCGAGTTGTAGTTATTCCCTCCTCCTTGTCTCTTGCATATCTCTTCGTTCTTGTTGCAGTGATCTGCCGCATTAGGATTTCGTAAAGGTTTCCCCTTTTCTGCCAAGAAACGACTCACCTTTCTGGCATTTCGATGGGGCGTTTGTGTTTGTATCTGTTGCTTGAAGGTAGAGTTTTTATCGTCTTTGTTGTTGCTGAATGTCATCGGGAGAGCGATGGTTATAGCCGTTGTTAGAGCTAATACCAGTAGTATCTTCGTGAGGCCCATTGTAAGTCGGGGCTGTCTTCTTTGATTGAGATGGTTTTCGACGCGAGAGAGAGAGAGAGACAGAGTTGGAGGAGCAAAATGTATCTAAGAGAGGAAAGCAGTAGAGTTTATATAAAGTTGACGAGTCGTATAGCCATGTGGGTGAAAAGAGTGAGTTCAAATTCTTCAATTATTTTAATTTTCCAAGAAATATGGCCTTACACACGATTACCAAAAAAAATTATGGCCTTACACGAAATATGGAAGTGTACAAAATTTTAAAAATTTTGGATTTTTTAAAGAATGGTTTTCTATATTTACACTTGAAAAAAAAAACATGTTCTATAAACTGCCATTTTCGGGTATTAGAATAGATACTACGTTTAAACAAAAAAAAATGAAACTAAAATAGAGTTCTAATATTAGGAAACAAAAAATAGGAACCATATTTTCATGAAGTCACAATACAGAATATTTAAGAAAAATAAAAATCCATACATTATACAATTTTTAGTATCTGCATATGTATGGAGGGACTATTTGGGAAGTTCATTTTTATTCATTAGTTAATCAAATGTCAATATATATTTTTTCGTTTATTTAAACTCAGAAGAGAATATTATTGAAGACTGTTATATGATTATTTTTTACGGTCTCTACGAAATAAGGTATAAAACACTCTAGGATGTTATGAAGAAAACGTCGAATTCATATTTTTTGGTTATGGTTCAGAATGGGAATTTAATTCTATATAATATAACCTCCAATTGTTCCTCAATAGTTCAGCGGTAGAGCCGTCGGCTATTAAGTGGAGCCTGAAATTTTCTATTTATCTCTTGTAGATTTTATGTGAAAAATATCGTTGTCACAATACGTTTTCACTTACAATATTTCATATTATTTTATTCTCTGATCCCTCCTGGAATTTATTGTTGAAGGTAACTTATAACGAAAGCTATAATATTAAAATCGATCTATTAATTTTATAATAACCAAATTGATGAAACTATGCTTTAAGGCACCCAGAACATGACGAGAATAAGTATGCACGAGAAAATTTAGGCATGCTGCATGGTGAAGCAAAGTGCATTAGCATATATAAAAACGATTTTAACCCCAAAATTGAAACTTTGTTTTCAAGGTATTTCATTGTGTACATATATAAATACACCGTCGGTCTAAAAACTTAAATAAAATTAAGTTAATTACAATAGAAGATTAATGAAAACTTGTCCGCATTGCGAAGAAGACTGCGAAAGAAGAAATTTTTTTGGAGGCGCGAAAACGGCTGATAGGGATCGGCACAGCCTTTGACCTAAAAAAATTGTCAAACGTTTTTTTATTCATTATTGCATGGTATTCTTTAATGTCTATATTACATCAAGTGAGAGAGAAGCACATACACCATAAATTGTAGCAGTTTTTTTTGGTTAAAGGTTGTATTTATATTAACAAAAGCTTTGTGATATTGTGATAGCCCAGGATATCGGAGGAGGACGGAGAGTGATCGCCGGTGCACGAGGCATGGACAATGGGCGGCTCCTGACGAGTTTCTGGGTAGGGAGTACATGTATGAATCAGACGCACCGGAATGAGAGAGATCCGAGAGTTGTGTGGGTATGGGACTACACAGTCTAAGATAACTTAAAAGGAATTAATTGAGCTACTCATAGCAACAAGATGCATCTACCTTTTCGGTTGTCCATCTCGAAAGAACTTCAAAGTTAAGCGTGCTGGCCTTGGAATAGTCTTAGGATGGGTGATCTCATGGGAAGTACTTTTCGGGATGTGTGCGAGTGAGGAGAACACGCTAAAAGGTCACGTGTTGGTGTGTGGGGACAGCTCTATCATTCCATAGTAGCCTCGGATCGTTACAAATGGTATCCGAGCCGGTTCTCTCCCAGTACGGTGTGGTGACGAACCAGGCGGAAGCTGATGGGCCTGTGACACCCTAGGATACCGTAGGAGGGCGGGGAGTGATCCCCGGTGCGAGAGGCATGGACAATGAGCGGCTCCTAACGAACTTCTGGGTAGGGGGTATAGGGATGAATCGGACGCACCGGAATGAGAGGGACCCGAGAGCTCTGTAGGTATGAAACTACACAGTCTAAGATAACTTAAAAGGAATTAATTGAGCTACTCATACAACAAGATGCGTCTACCTTTTCGGTTGTCCATCTCGAGAGAACTCCAAAGTTAGACGTGCTGGTCTTGGAGTAGTCTTAGGATGGGTGACCTCCTGGGAAGTACTTTCCGGAATGTGTGCGACTGAGGACAAAACACGCTAAAAAATCTCGTGTTAGTGTGTGTGGGGACAACTTTATCATTCTATAGCGGTCTCGGGTCGTTACAGATATGATCCCAATATCGATAGATTTCCCGATGGGCGGTGGATGGGTTCCCTAAACCCCTAAACAACACGCAAACGAAACCTGAAAAAGCGTTCGAGACGAACGGTCTTAAACCCCGAGTGAACCTGGTTTAGAAACGTAGGGTGAGCGAAGATGCCACAAGAGTTGTGCGGAATCAACACTTGATAAGTCAAGATTGAACGCCACAGATGAAGATTCGATAAGTTCATAAATTAGTTCTAAAAGAACTTTAAGAGAAACCTCTCAAAATATATTTCAAAGTTGTTGTACAAATCTGATTTGTGATCTCTATTTATAGAGAACAACACATGAAAGTTAGTCAAAATCAACATAAATAAGCACAAACAAAGATATTTGAATGTGTAATCTTAAAGAAAGTCATAATTGACTTTGTAGTCTTCAAGAAGGAAGTTGGAAAGTCCTCTTGACCATAGTTAATGCCATTTTCGTCATCTATATTGGGCTTGAATTTTGGGCTTGATTTATGGGCCTTCCAAGGGTGAAATCAAGTGGATAATGCGCAGAACTTGTGGATGATCCAAGCCCATGCACTTTTCCATGTATTCTTGGCCCAAACATTCAAGAATAAGGCAATTTGGCACAACTTGTAACTTTTTGGCACGTGCTTTCGTCATCGGTCCTATTGCCTCGGTGAATTCTTCCGCTTTGTCCATCCCAAAGAAAGTTTCCAATCCAGCTCGAATGGGTTGCCTTTGGTATCACATCATTCTTCTGTCGTAAAACTTCCGTTACTGGTTTGCGACTAATCTCCGACCAATCCTCCCGTCCCTTTTTGCGGCCAGTGTGCAATGGATGATCCGTCGCACATTACGATGGAATTACGACGGATATTCCGTCAGTAATAGCGACGACTTTACGACGGAATGTTCGTCGCGTTTACCATGGAAAAACGACGGAGTTTCCGTCGATCATATCGACTACATTGCGACGGATATACCGTCGCGTTCACTGGCGGATTATTCCGTCGCGATAAATGACTGGTTTACGACGGGTTTTCTCCGGGATGTCCGACCGGAATATGTTTGCGAGAACCATTTACGGACGGAAAGTGTTCCGTCGGTTTCCGTCGCAAACCGAAGATACCGACGGAAACTCCTCTTTATTGCGACGGATTTTTCCGTCGGAAAGATGAGTTTTTTTTGTAGTGGGTTATGCGAATAATCTTTAGAAACATGTGTGATTATGAGAGAAAAAAACATGCAAACAAAATGACTCTCTTGTTCTAAAAAAAAATCGAAATGATATTACTACTGGATCGGTATATCATCATCTTCATCTTCATCTTCACTCTCATTATCAACCATCATTTTTATGAAAAGAACAACAAATTAGAAAAGAACCAGGCTCTGATACCATGTAGAAAAATAAAATGCGGAAACAGAATAAGACAAATGAAAATAAATGAAATTATTCTATTGCTACATCTCTTTTTCTTCTTACATTACAATAAAAATAATCCATACATTTATAGAAAAAGTTATTGAAAGAAACAAGGAAATAAAGATACGAAAGAAACAAAATGATGAAAAACTTCACTATTATTAGAACAATTCATAGACACCAAATTTCATTCATTTAGAGAGTAGTAACCTTTTTCAATTCACTTCCTTGACTTTAAAGTTCTAGCTTTAACTCTTTTTGTCATAGCATCTTGCTTGATCTTAGAGTTTTTAGCTTTGATTTTTTTTTTGTCATATCACATCGTTTGAATCTGGTTTTTTACTCCCCTTTGAACGATTTGGATATATGAACATCCAAAACGCAAAAGAAAGAAGAGACTAGAAAATTAGAAAAAGAGAAACATGTAGTCCAGATCGCAACGCTGCTCTGATACCATGTAGAAAAATAAAATACGGAAACAGAATAGAACAAATGAAAATAAACGAAACTACTTTATTGCTACATCTCTTCTTCTTCTTATATTACAATGAAAATAATCCATACATTTATAGGAAAAGTTATTGAAAGAAACAAAGATACGAAAGAAACAAATAAGGCAAAATATAATTGACACGATATATATTTTATTCTTAATTGATATTATACCTTTAATTATTATCAATCATATCAAATCTCCATATTTTGTTTCTATTTCAACAAGAAGAAATTCAAAAGTTAACAGGAGATGCCGAAAATGGAGATGCAATTGATGAGTTTTTACTCATTACATCTGAGCATATAAAAAATTCTTCAACTGATCTTGTGGAGTTCGGTACTGTATCTCTATACATTAGTTTACATCAAAATGCTATATTTGATCCTGGAATCGGAAAGAGGATGAAACAATACGCCAAACAAGCAAACAAAGGGCGAAAAGAGGTTGTATTCAAACCAGGAGAGATGGTTTGGGTGCACATGCGCAAAGAGAGATTTCCAAATCAAAGGAAATCAAAGTTGAAGCCCAGAGAATTCAGATTTGAAGACAAATCTTTCTCAAGAAGAGGAGAATGATGTGATATCAAAGGCAACCACATTCGAGCTGGATTGGAAGCTTGCTTCAAAATGGACAAAGCGCGAGAATTCTGAAGAAAATTAGAGTATAGTGTCATTGGATGATGAGAAATTGAGAAGAAATGACAAGAGGAGCTCACTCTCGGCTTAGTATATGACCGAGAGATATTGCCCAGAGAGAGACAAACTGTAAAGGATTTCTTATATTTACGTTAATCAATATGAACATGACT